GCATACAGCCAAGCACAGAGGTATCAATCCATGGTAGATAATAATTAGTACACCACGCTTTCTTAGTCTACATCCAATGTTCTATATAGCTGACTTATATCATTTATCACTTTGTATTAGAGTTAATAATGAGCCATTGTGGAGAAATGCTGATTTGGTTGTTAATTAATATGTTGGTGATTTGAACCTACTAGCAGCTCCACAGGAGACCAAACTGGCAGTTTGGTCCCATAAAAAGTCCAGCCTAAGTAACTCTATGGGGAAGTCCTACTCTATCCTATAGTCACCTGAGAGTGTAGCCTGGATCAAGTATATATGGATATTCTGGCAAAGTTTGCACTTTCTGAATTCTGCACTCAATCCTGCATTTGCCTTGTCATCCTCTGACTTCTAGTTCTTGGAATGTGAGCCAGCCACCTATCTGTCACTTTGCTTATAGATTTTGTATTTTTGATTCCCAGCAATACCATGAGCCAGCTGCCTGTTGCCTGACTTGCAGATTTTGGATACATGAGTCCCTTGAACCACATAAATCAGAAGAAGCCTCCTGTCTGCCACCTGACCCACAGATTTAGGAATGCCAGCCTCCATAACTGCATGAGTAATTTCTTTTAAATAAATCTTTCTATGTATGTTTATATATACACTTCACTGGTTTCTCTGGTAGAGAACCCAGTCTAAGATACATAGTAAGAAGACTGACACTTTGTTAATATTAGTTTGACATCAAGGTACAAAGTTTGAGGTTGAAATTCAATCAGAGAAAATCCTTCAGCTCTCATATGGTGTCTTATAGAACAAATGACTATATTTTGTTTTCCTTTACACTAGTTGCTGTGGAATTAGCAATAATGAATAATGATAAATATATATGTATAGCAGTATATTACTATAATATGGCCCTTCTATCCCTGGTCTTGTGACTTTGGTCTAAAAACAAGTGAATATCAGCAAGGGGAAGATGGACCTCACTACCATCAGAAGAATGACCAGAATTGGAGTATGTCCTTTGGAGCTAGGGTTCCTGTGCTGGAACCTACTAGACTCAGGAGACAGAGACAGCTGTAGCACAGAGATGTTGAAAGAAGATGCTAAGTGAGAAGTGGCAGTGGAGAAACAGTGATGCAGAACCAGGATACTGATTCAAGAAGGTATGAGAGTGCAGTGGGTTTACAGTCCATGGAGTGAGGTGGCTATAGTGGGCAAGTCAGCCCATGGGCTTATACAACTGAGTGTAAGTACTCATTCGTTTAGGCAGGGGATTTCCTAGCAGAGTCAGATGCCTTTAAGCAATTATCAGTGGAGCTAAAAACTTTTATAATTCTTGCTTGATCAGGGACTAGGTCATGCTGAGAAGTTGAGAGGCCAAAGGACCAACAAGCTGAGGGCTGGGGACTGAGGTAGAGGACTGCCTACAGGTTGTTCTGCTCAAATAACTATATCCTGATTCATCTTGATCCTGACTGGAAGCCTGTTACTGCTCTAATAAACTCCCATAGCCATAAGCATGCTCTGTGAATTCTAAGTGGCCGTTGCAATAAATCCACCATTCATCTGTCAGTTTGTTGTACTGTGGTGGCTTGTGTGTTGCTGTGATTCTGGAAGCCATTTCACAGGTATTTTAAATACCAGCAGGTTCACCCAGAGTGGACAGGTTTCAGCTGAGATTCCAGAAAAGACAGACTCCAGAAAAGACAGATTCCAGAAAAGGAAGAAAGAGAGACAGGCTACTGATATTTAGTCCCTGAAAACCTTATGAACGGCAGTAGAAACTGTAAGCATCAGAATACTTAATACTGAAACATGAGGAAGAGCATCAGAATATTGTCAGACATGGTGCTGGGAAATGAACTCCTTAGGTTGGAAGGCATGCAAAATAAAATTGAGGAAGATCTGTTTCCTCAAAGTAGAGTTGACCTTGATTATGTAAATGGAGTAAAGCCTTTGGAACCTTCATTTGCTGATGTGTCATATCTCAGAATGAAGAGAAACAGTTGTAAACATACATTAATTCTCAGCACATGGAATGTACAAAGTATAAATCTAGGAAAATTGAGAATTATAAAAAATGAAATGGAATGCATAAACATCTATATCCCAGGTATTGGTGAGCTGAAATGGACTGATATTGGCCATTTTGCATCTGATAATCACATGGAATGCCTATGTCTGGAATGACAGATGGAAGAGGAAAAGTGTCATATTCATCAAAAAAAAAGAACATTTCAAGACCTTTCTTGAGTTACAACATTGTGATAGGATAATATCCTTACTCCCACAAGGAAGACCAGTTAATAACACTATTATTCAAATTTACACACCAACGACTAAAGTCAGTGATGATGAAATTAAAGAATTCTACCAACTTCTTCTGTTTCAAATTGATTAAACATGCAATCAAGATGATCATTACTGGTGATTGGAATGTTAAAATTGGAATCAAAGACGAAGGATTAGTAATTGGAAAATATGGGCTTGGTGACAGAATTTTGCAAGACCAATGAAATACATTTGTTTAAGCAACATAAAAGACGACTACACACATGGACCTCACCAGATGGAATACACAGAAATCAAACTGACGACATCTGTGGAAAGAGGCAGTGGAAAAGCTCCATATCATCAGCCAAAACAGGCCAGGGGCAGACTGTGGAACACAACATTGTTCATATGCAAGTTCAGGCTAAAGCTGAAGAAAATTAAAGCAAGTCTACAAGAGCCAAAATATGATCTTGAACATACCCCACCTAAATTTAGAGATTATCTGAAGAGGTGATTTGATGCATTAGACACTTAAAGACCAAAGACCAGAAGAATTGTAGGATGACATCAAAAACATCATTCAGGAATAAAACAAAAGTTCAGTAAGACGACAAGAAAGAAGTAAAAGGCCAAAATGGATGTCAGAAGAGACTGAAACTTGCTCTCCAGCATAGAGATGCTAAGGCAAATGGAAGAAATGAGGATGTAAAAGAGCTGAATGGAAAATTTCAAAAGTGAGCTCGAGAAGACAAAGTCAAATATCATAACTAAATGTGTAATGACCTGGAGTTAGAAAACCAAAATGGAAAAACATGCTTTCCCATGTAAACTATCACTCAATTCACAATAAAATCTTAAAAAAAAAAAAAAAAAAATGCACCCAATCCAAGCATGGTATTTTCAATAATCTCATATGCATGTGAAAGCTTGACAGTGACTATGGAAGACTGAAGAAGAACTGATGCATTTGAGTTTTGGTTTTAGGAGAATATTAAAAGTACCATGGACTGCCAAAAGAATAAACCAATCTGTTTTGAAAGAAGTACAACCACAATGCTCCTTGGAAACCAGGATGACCAGACTTTGTCTCTTATACTTCAGACATATTATTAAGAGGGACCAGTCCCTGGAGAAGGATATCATGTTTATTAAAATGGAGGAGCAGAGAAGAAGAGGAAGAGCTTCAACAAGGTGGACGGTGGACTGGCACGGTGGTGGCAGCAATGGCCTGAGGCATAATAACAAGTGTGGAGCTTGCGCAGTGCCAGGTGGTGTTTCGTTCTGTTCTGCATAGGGTTGATACAAGGTGGTACTGACTTGATGGCACCTAAAACTACAACAATTGCAAACATCTGACTACAAGGATGGGGAAGTAGTAAGTCTACAAGGGCTTATGCCAAAATTAGTGAAAATGTATAGAAAACATAATGAACTTTTATACCAACTTTTTGAAGTCCTCTCCTGTGTGTGTGTATAGATAAACATTTAAGTACACTTTATCTTTATCCCTTCAGTCTAAATCTATTAATCTGCTTGAAAATCGAATGGGAAATACCTATTAAGTATTAAGGACATTTTTATAGCTAGTCTATTTATATATTTGAGCAAAAACATTGATTTATTCTAGAAAACATGATGCTCTTATGCATATTATAGCAATTCTAGGTCTTATTTTACAGCGAATAGATATTTGTCTATAAAAAATTATACATAGTCTATATCTTTAATGTATAGTCTAATAGGCAGGACATTCTGTATAAGTAGGCCAATATTCCATTATTTATTGATTCATGCCTCTCAAAAATGAGAGCCATTGTTTTATTTTTATTATGAATTATAGTGGTACAATGTGACTACTTTAATACTCTAATGCCAACATATAAGCTTAAACTCTTCATTAATCTTTAAGATTGCTTTATAAATATTGGTGGCAGAAAATGATTTTCAGTATTACATTATATTAAGTTACCATAGTACATAACTTAATCTGATACACTGTTTATTATTGTTACTATCTGAGAATATAAGGGCATTGGGAAACATATTGAGCAAAATGGAAAAATACCACAACATTTCAGAAAGAGTGATAACAGCATGTGATGTGCCTAGTTTTAGCTTTTAGCCATTAAAAATATGTATAGAAATTATGTAACTATATTAGTAAATGCCTGACATTTGGAAATATGCAAATTCAAAATGATTCTCATAGAGGAAATTTGACTCAAATGACTACCAGTAGACAACAAACAGAATGATTAATACTCCTCCTTAAAAAGAAAAATAAATAAAAATAAACAATGCTTTAATTGTAGACTGAAATTACAGGGATCTCTTAAAGATGTGTTAACCAAAGATGCAATAATTGCACTAGGCCAGGAAGTGCCTAAGCTCCCAAGCAAATCATTCCTATTAGTTCCTATTCATGATTTAAATTATGCTTTTTTATCTCTTCATAACATGCAGCATTTTCTTACCCTCACATTTCTAGGCATTTCATCTTTTGCTGACATAAATGCATTCCCCAAATAGAATGTTACAGCAATCTTCTGCCAGACATTTAAGCCCATTTGTACGTTTATTTTTTAAGATGCTTTTTTTGAACCTTCTAACTGTGAGAAGGCTGGGAAGGTAGTGTTAGAATGAATGAGAACTTGTTTTCTAAAGTGACACAGTAGACACTTGATCTACCGTTACAAAAAAAACAAAAAAACAAAAAACCATATATTATAGCCTCCTACCTTGAAAACAAACATCTCACGGCGAAGAATAGCTAGAGTGTTAAAGTTCCCATCACAGATGTTGGGTTTGGCTCCAGGATAGGAAGGTCTGCCGGTGGGAGGCCGTGGAGGTTTTGGCCTGTCGTTCTTCCTTGGGTCAGCCGGAGGAATAGAGCGGTGTGGGGGCACTGTTGGTAGAGGTCTTGTAGGTGGAGGAATCTTGTCAGGTGGACCTTTTGAAAATATGAGGACAGTGCTTGGTTCATTTAAAACTGGAATAAGACTGAAGTATATATTCTACAGAGGACAATCACTCATCGGAAGATAGCACAGATTAAATGAGCTAAGAGGTCTTTAAATCATATATTTTATGAAAAAACAAACCATCTTACTGAAACAAACCATTCCCCAGGATATCTGAAATTGTCCTTAATATGCTAAATTCTGGATCCAAGGAACTAGGCTTTCTTTAATTTTTAATAATCTTTTTGTAGCTTCACCACGGTCCTAACAGAGATAGCTGCTTTCAAATCTTTTTTTTTGGAAGTGGCTGGTATATAAATTATAAATAAATGAAAATGAATCCTGGAAATATGCATGTGAAGCTCAATCACAGCTAAGTCTAGATTTCAATAGACAATGATTCTATGCAAATATTTCAAAAAGACAAATATTAACTAATAAAAGTTATTCTATGCTATGTTTCTGACTACATTTTATAACCTTGACTTGCACTATTTTCTTCTAATGAAATGTTTTGATGAATTGCTGGAAGGGTGTTGCATTTGAATACCTGAATCTAAAGCATCTATTGATTAAAACTCCACCAGTAAAAAATTAATGTGAAGAAGAATTTCTAAAAAGAGACTTCTATCTAAATCAAGCTAATGTTTACACATGTAATTGGCACAGATGTTAAGCATCATTCCTGAAGAGATTTATTATTTTTTAAAACAAAAACACAGATCTGTTCACATTTAATATTTAGATTTAGGAAGAATTTTTTATTTTTTTGCAGACTTTCAGTCTAGACTACCAATTCATGAGGTCATGAGAAAGAGCCCCCTTTCAGTTAACCACTTAGGAAGAATTTCTGACGACACACACTTAGGCATGGATAACATGCCCTCATATTCAACACATGAACTAAATATTTAGCTTTGTGTCTGAGACATTTCGCTTTTTTCACTATCTCAACAATAAAGAGAAGCAACAAGTTGACCTTCTTTATCAAATCCATTTTAACAGTGAGAGAACACTTAGCACTGAAACATCTAACTTGAAAAAAATAATGAGTGCAAAGCAAATTAACTTAACTTAAGTTATAGTTAACTTAAACTATAAACTATGCTGTTGACAAATGCAAATGACACCTCTGGATACTGGCTAGTAACACACAGATAATACACATTATTTTTTGTATTATAAAAATGAAAGCTTCACTTCATTAATTTAGAAAACATACAAACTATATGTAAATTATAGAAGTCACATTCTTAATAGTGAAACAAATGTCTTTATAAAGGTCAGTGGCTGTATTATAAGAGTTGGTATTACAGTATGTGTATATATATATAAACAGTCTTTCCTCCTTTTCTCTTAATTTGTATTCACTGACTGAATTCTGGAAGTAAAAATGATTTCAGTCTCCTAGAAATTATCTTCATTTTGAGCTATGTTTTGGTAAACGTAACCATTTGTTTTTAACTTTTAACTTTCACTTTTAAAGTTAAGTTTTAACTTTCACTCCTATGTTTGTTAACTTTTATTCTGAGTCAGTAACTACATGCTTTCAATGTGAATTCATTATATTCATTGAACAAGGCTGTTTTTTTAGAATTTGAAAGTGGTAAGTCTGGAACTATTTAACATCAAATCTCGTAAGCTGAGAGCCAGTCTTGTCAGTTTATATCAAAGACATAGTACCTTATCAGTAAAAGCTTATATTTATCAAAGCTTTTATTAGTTCCATTAACTTATTACATATTTTACCTAAACTTTAAGTACTAGTTTATCATATTAATACAATAACTATAGGTTTAACACTTTATCATGCCATAAACATAAGATATATGGAAATTTCACCAACAAAGTACTATTGATTTTGATAGAAAATTTTTGCAAATGGGCCAGATTTTAATCAGTTTTTACTTCTTATATTTACTTGGAACATCTATCTCAAAGAGTGAAAAACAGCAGGAACTGTAAGCTTAACCAAACAGATTTTTAAAAATTGTATTAAATATCATTCTTACCAGATACTCAGTGTCTCCTAAGAATTGAGTCCTTCTTTCCCCCACCCTCTCAGTCAACCTGTAAATCACCAATAAACTTAGGTCTTTACATACTTGCCTATTCTAGTTGTCATGTAAGTGGAATCATAAAATATTTGTCCTTTTTGTGACTGATTTATTTCACTAAGCATAATGTTTTCAAGGTGACAGTGGTAACTTACCATATATCTTCTGGATGCCCTGCAAGTCATCATTAGGTAGTTTGAAGTTGTCAGTTTCCATGTACTGGTAAAATGGAGCCATGATGGCTGTGGGGTCATTGGAATGCTCCAATCCCAGAGCATGTCCCAGTTCGTGAACTGCTACAAGAAATAAGTCATTTCCTGTGTAAATAAAAAGAAGAAAAAGATGATATTGTAACTAATATCTAAATACCAACAAAACACAGAAGGAATGCTTTACTTCAACTTTTACTAGGATTTGATTATTAGTGTTCCTATTGGCAAAATCTAATCTGTATTAAAAAAAAAAAAAAAGAGGAAGTGATAATGATGAAGTCATAAAAGAGACCGGAAGGAAAGAACAAAGTATTAAAGTTGAAGAAAGAGTAGCATCATCAGAAATTGCTATTACTGCTGTTAAAATATCTTCCCAATTATTAAGCACTTAATATACAGCATGGTGGTTATGTGCCGTGGAGTCGGTTCCGACTCATAGCAACCCTGTACAGGGTTTCCGAGGCTGTAAATCTTAACGGGAGCAGAAAACCTCCTCTTTCTCTCGTGAAACAGCTGGCAGTTTCGAACTGCTGATCTTGCGGTTCACAGTCTGATTTGTAACCACTACGGTACCAGAGCGTACAGCATTGAGTCCTGGTATGGAGCTGTAAGATATGCAATGGGCAGCTAACTGCAAGGTCGGCAGTTCAAACCTACCAGTCGCTCCTTGGAAACCCTAAAGAGGGTTTTAACAACAGCACTTAACTGTTGTTAAATGCATTGAAACATTTATGATGGGGCTTCAAAAAATTCATGGAAAAATTCCATTATCTTTTAGTTCCATTTTCCCATGAACTTTGTGAATCTTCATCATATAACTTTCACATTCAACATGATTCTAATAATTCATTAAAAAAATGTAGGGAAAATAAAACTCTTATTTTAATACAGGTGAGTTTAAATTAAGGCACAGAGATGATAATTCTTGTCAAAACTTGCAATCCTTTGTTTTTACACATCTGGAACTAGTACTCAGATTATTTTAACTTCCAAATTCAGGATTTTATTTACTACTATTCTACAATATCGGAAGGCAATTACCCAAACCAAACCCATTGCTGTAGAGTTAATTCCAACAACAAGAGGATAAAATAAAAGCTACAAGATAATAATGTTACTAAGCGAAGTCCTAGTCCCAGTTTATAAATACAGAGTCTAATCTATTCTTAAATATCTAAACAGACTATATATATATAGTTTGCCTTTCACTACAGTTTCTCACTGAAAATAACATCTCTTTCACCCCTAGTGAAATTGCACAAAGAATAGTCAAACCCTCCAGAGGCACTTGATCTGACTAAGCTTAATCAAACCCCTGCTGATGACTTCTACATGGTGTCCATTTCTGAATCATCACAATTACACTCCTGAGAAGAAGAGGCAGCACATTTGTGCTTATTAATTCTAAAAATTTAGTTTAATGATGCAATCATCAAATAATTGCCACTGTTTGTTTACGTGGTTTACGTTTCCAAGAGAAATATTTTAACATGACTGGTCATAAAATAAAAAGTTTTCCATGGATGTCTTTCTAGGAATACAAATGATCTCAAGCAATGTTTCAAATATCCTATTTTCCAGACAACATTTCCCCAACCATTCACTTCAGAAGGTTGCATTTTGTACCCCAAACCAGGAGTACACTTAACATATTTTCCACACTGGACTAGTCTATTTTGAAAATGATGGGAGTGTTCACATCACATATGTCATTAGCACATGGAAAATGGATCATTTGAATAGTACTTCCCCTTGCCTACCTGATTCTTGAAGAATAACAACTAAATATCAGAGTGAAACAAATTTGAGCGGTTTAAAGGGAAAGAAAAAAATACTATGTCCATCCTCAAAGAGCTTATTTTCTTCTCTCACAAAATTGCTGAAAAGTGAAAATCACGACATGTACAAAAAATAATATGTATTAGCTATAATAAAATAATAACTATTAACTATTTATTATTGTTGTTCGGTGCCAATGAGATGGTTTCGACTCATAGTGACCCTATGCACAACAGAACAAAACACTTCCCATTCTGTGCCATCCTCACAACTGTTAAGCTTGAGTCTATTGCTGATGTCACTGGATCAGTCCATCTCCTTGGGGGCTTTTCTCTTTTTCACTGACTCTCCACTTTCCCACACAAGATGTACTTCTCGAGGGACTAGTCTCTCCTGATAACGTGTCCGAAGTATGAGAGACAAAGTCTCACCATACTGTCTTCTAAGGAGCACTCTGGCTGCAGGTCTTCCTAGATTTGTTTGTTCTTCTGGCGGTCCATGGTACTTTTAAATATTCTTCTCAAACACTATACTTCAAGTGCATTGTCCAATTTTTACATGTATATGTGTTAGGTGCCGATGAGAACTGAAATCACTGTGACTTGGGTCAGACACACAGTCTTCAAACTGATAACTTTGCTTTTGAACATTTTAAAGAAGTATTTTGTAATAGATTTGTCTAATGCAATCTGTCATATGATTTCTTGACTGCTGCTTCCATGGGTGTTGGTTATGGATCCAAGCAAACTGAAGTCTGACAATTTCAATCTCATCTTCATGTATCATGATGTTATTTATTGGTGCAGTGGTGAGGAGTTTTGCTTTATTTACAATGGGATGCAATCCATACTGAAGACTGTCATCTTTAAGTATTTTAAGTCCTCTTTTGTTCCACCAACCAACATATCACAGGTTTCTTCTTCCAATCCTTATGCCATGCTCTTCTTCACATAATCCAGCTTCTTGGATTATTTACTCAGCATATAAAATGAATAAATTTGTGAAAGGATACAACCCTGGTGCACGGCTTTCCTGGATATAAACAATTGAATATCCAGCTCTTTATTCTATTCTAAGAACTGCTCAAGGTCCTCATGAGCATAATTAAATGTCCGAGTAAATGTTTGTTTACTGTTCTTGTTAAGTACCATCAAGTCAGTTCCGACTCATAGTGACCCTGGGTAGGAATTCCAAGGAGTCGCTGATGAGTTTAACCATGAAGCTTGTGGTTAAAATTGGCCTTGTGATCCAATGCTTATCCTACCATGACATACCAGGACTCTGGGTATTTTCAGTAATTTTATCTGCATTTTATTATTTAAATCTTGCAATGATCCCATAAGATGTCATTCAGTGATGGAACAAACCATAGGGGGAGCTGTTTTTGCTGTATTTTCTTTTAAAATGTGAACATCTAATGCATGTCTTCCAAGATAGATTTGTTTATTCTTCTGGAACACTTTAGTGATTCCTAATAAAAGATAGAATTGTTTGAGATACAAACCTGAAACTGATGGGGCTTATTATCAACCCCAAATAATGTGCTTTAAGTGGTGGTAGTTATGCACCATGGAGTCAGTTCCAATTCATAGCCACCCTGTATAGGGTGTCTGAGGCTGTAAATCTTTACGAGAGCACAAAGCTTCACCTTTCTCCCGCAGAATGGTTGGTAGTTTCGAACTGCTGACCTTGAGGTTAGCAGCCCGACTCGTAACCACTGTGCTACCAGAGCTCCTTTAAGTGGTTGTTGTTGTTGTTGTTGTTATGTGCCATGGAGTCGGTTCCGACTCATAGCGACCCTGTACAGGGTTTCCGAGGCTGTAAATCTTTACAGGAGCAGAAAGCCTCATCTTTCTCCCATGGAAAAACTGGTAGTTTGAACTGATGACCTGGAGGTTAGCAGCCTGATTCATAACCACTATGCTACCAGAGCTCCTTTAAGTGGTAGGACAAAATTATGTGTGTTTCTGAGATTGCATGCCTACCCTTAGGAAACATGGGTCAAGTTTGGTTGAAATAGGTTATCGATGGATTAAAAAATAAAAGCAGATTGGCTCTATAGGATAAGCAAGATCAGTGAACTGCAAGATTAGTGGTTCAAACCCACCAGCTGCTCCTTAGAAACTCTATACTGGATCACTGTGAGTCAGAACTGACTGGATAGCACTTAACAACAAGAAGGAAGAGCAAACTTAATATAAAATAAAATTCAAAGGACCAACAAAAATCCAGACAGTCAAATCAAGATTTCAAAACTCAATAATGAGTTGTTAATGTTGTTAAAGGCCATCGAGTTAATTCCAACCCATAGCGACCCTGTATAGGGTTTCCAAGGAGCAGCTGGTGAGCTTGAACCGCCGACCTTGCAATTCAAATGACTTTGCAGTCTGGTGCATTAACCCACAGCGCCACACTGAGTAGTCAGTTTTATCTAGAGTTGACAACTGTTAGAAGAAATGAAGATGATATTGCCAATTCAAAATATACCTATAAACACTCTCATTCTTCTACAAAACAAATGAAACTTCCTAGTCAGAAAATTTAAAGGTGAGCTCACAGGGATTGTGCCTTCCCTTCCTTCCTTTCTTTCTTTCTTTAATGTTTTATTGTGAATTATGCGATAGTTTACATGGAAGAACATTAGCTTTACATTCATTCGGTCGTTTGTCATTTCATTGCCATGGTTACAATTCCCTCCATGCATCATCAACAAACCAACCCTGCAAGTGTGACCTCCGGTTGTCAGCACACAGCCCCCTTCCCTCTCTGAGTCTAAAGTCCCCAGTCGCTCCATCTCTCCAAGTCATCTCTGCCTCCATCTCCAGCATCATTGCTTCTCTGGGTAGGGTCCCACTCTCCGCTCTTCTCCCTTGATAGTAGTCCTAGGGACCTCCGCTCCTAGACTGCAAAGTCAATCACTCCCCTCCTTTGCCACAAAACATCTACCTTTACATTTCCAACCCACAAAGTCAGTCCTGATAACAATTATTCACTATTGTATCACAAAAGGCCTATCTGCATCTCCTTTCATCAGCCCCACCCAGACAGATTGGATACTGCTCAGTGGAGATTCTACCTTCCTCTGTGCCCTCTGAATCTAAGCTCCCTCTTGAAAGCTTGTAAGCCAGTTATTTCTTCCCTTTGTAGCCCCCCTCCTCCCAATTTTGGGTAGCCAATGTCCAAGTTGCCCACCCCTGTCTCTGTGTATGGAGGGGGTCCTTTCCTTTATTTTTCAAGAGAGAAAAATCCAACCTTCATAATCTTCCTTCTAGAATATAAGATCTTCTTTCCTAGAGAGAAGTACTTTGTTCACTGCGCTTCGGGTA